CTACAAACATGAACTTCTGCCAACAAAAAAATCGCACAGATGCAGGTCTGAAGCCCAAAGAAAAGAAAAAAACCCAATGAGTAACAACTAACTAACAAAAGAGCTCAATACAACCGTAGAGCAGACCTAGATACACCTAGTGAGCCAGACAAACCTACCTAGGTTTCACCTAAACTGATCGTCAGGGAAAGTTTTGGCTATCTATCTATATATATATATATATATATATATATATATATATATATATATATATATATATATATACACACACACACACACATCTTAAAAATCAGGAGATCAGTTTGAATCCACTATTTTGGTTTCAATCTAATGGTATCCTTAGGTGATTTTTATCAATTGAGCTCCCAACGCTTTATTTAAAAAAAAAAAAAAACTAATGAACACTATATTATTTAAAAAAACAAAAAAAAACAAAAGCATGATGAGAAAGAGAGAAGGAGGATGTGAAAAACAAAGGAGAAGAAGAAAGAGAAGAAGAGAAGAGAAGAAAAGCAAGGGCATTATAAATGTATCAGTGGTGGGGACAACAGAAATGTACATTTTGTTTTTTTTATCTACATTTTTACATATGAATGTGCTTCAGAGGAATTTTTTAATATGTAGGCAAGGATTCAAGACTTCGATTTTCTGGTTCAAAAAGGTTCTTTGGACCCAGAAATGTCATTATTGCTAATTTTTCCTGTTGGCAGAGGCTGCAAATATTGTTGTGGTTGTTATAAGGCTTTGCCTTTTTTAAAAGTATATATATATATATATATATATATATATATATAGTAAAAGAAAGAACGGTAAGATTTATAATCCAGTGAAGTACATTCCAAATACCAACAAAAGGAATTATTTCGTAATCATATTTTTAAAAAGAAAATAATTATATTTTGCTCTACTGTTTGTATTGAGCACTGTTTTTGAAAAATAAAAATAATTATTAAGAAAACTGGATTATAAATCTTACTGTTCTTTCTTATTATTTTAATATATGTACATTGGCTACCAATTAAGGTAGACCACCCTTAATCTTTATTTTTAAATAAAAATCGTAAAATATGGAAAAAATAAATTTCAGAATTTCTCTGAAGAACATTCCAAATACCAACAAATGAAATAATTTTGTAATCAAATTTAAAAAAAAATAATTATAATATATATGTATTTAAATATAATAAACAAACTATGAACACACACATAAACAAAAGTAAATGTAATAATAACAATCAATACAAATAATAAAGTAAACAATAATAAGTAATGAGTAAAAAAAATTTAACAACACTATAAAAAAACCAAAAACTGCATTTCAATCCACAATTATTTCCACTCAATAGCCCCTAGAATAATTTGAAACATAACTGTTACTTCCCACCCAATAACAGTTAGAATAATACCATAGACCTACCCATAATACACCACTGACTAACATATATAATTAGGTGAGCCAAAACACAACACCTGTGGCCTGAAGATTATTTTTAAGCATGAAACAGACTTTTGCCATTGACCTCAGTATCCACTTTTTTTATTTACATATGCTCTATCCTTGATATTGAGCACTTTTTCCTATAAATGTAGCATACCATAAAACATATATATATATATATTAGTATAAATAGTACTAATGGCTGTCAGCTGATATCCAAGTATGCCTATCTGCTAGGGCAGTTAACCAATCCCTATTGCAGGCGCCTGCTCAGGCACATTTGTGTTTGTTGAACACCCACAGAGCCCACCTGTGGTTTATACTGCAACTATGCTGAGTGGAGCTTAGTTGCAGTTTCTTTAAGGGATCAACAATCTGAACAAGGCCAGTATGCTCAAATCATTGGTTATGATGGCTTACGACTTTGTGCTAGCTCAATCATTGATGACTCCCAAATAGTTCTGTCTCCCCAATTTCACTCACAAAGCATAAATCAACCTGTGGTATGATTTTCAGGCACTTTCCAAAATTGTTACATGCTCGAATTGCCTCTACAGGCCAATAACATGAAGAAGTCACGTTCCTGACAAATTGTGTAATAGTGCAATTAAAATCTGAGACTCCTGGTTGGAAAGTAAACATCATAGCCACTTGGCCACATACCTATATATGTAGATATATAAGTTTACCTATCGTCCTGTTCACACTCCTCTCCTATTTTGAACAGGAGTAGAGAATTATCCCTTCTTTTCTGTTTAGGATTGGGTTTCTGGTTTCTTGTAAAATCTCTATACTCAGCTCTATAATCAGCTATATACTCCTAACATTTGTCTTTAATATAACTCCACATATTAACACTCTACTTTGAGAGGCTATTGGGCCTTTCTGTTGGGTGAATATCATTAAAATATATATATATATATTTTTTTTCTCACCAGTAACACGACTTGGAGTTCCATGCACAAAGCAATTGTCAGGTGTTGAATTCAGACTGTCAGATGTTCGATATATATATATATATATAAGTAAATAAATTTGATCAGATTCTATAATCTTTTCAATACTGATTCAAAAATACTTGCTAAATAATTATATTTTCCTCAAGGTTGAATGGTAACTCTCTATAAATGTACTCATCAATTGAGAGGGAATTAGCACACTTTATCTCTCTATCTCTGCCAAGATGTAGAAATTTCTGATCAAGTGTGAATAAATAATTGCAAAGAGATTGATACGTATAATTATATTTATTCAGAAAAGATAAAGTGACATTGGTTATTGGCTATGTTTTTTTGGTTTTTTTTATCAATGAGCATGTGCAGATCTGAATGCAACAAAGTGAGCATTATTCATTGAAGAAGATTAATGAAAGCCGAGGAAAATTTGCAAGAGAAATAGAATAAAGGAAAATCATTTGAAATTGATTCAATTCTAATTGTACATTAAATGACTCACGCCTGGTTCATTTCAGGAGAATTTTAGTGGAAAAGAGTTAACCAACATCCAGAAAAAAAAAAACAGTAAAGATTTATAGTGGCATGGGACATCGGGGGTTAAAATGAACAGTTGGTTTACCCACACCAAGAAGATTAATCAAGGATAATAATGATGAGGAAACATAGGAGTAATTTTTAGCAAAATAAGATAAGGAATCTATTCAGGAATTTACATGCTTGAAGATGTGTCTGTAGCTTGTTTCAAGAAAATAAATCAGAAATTTTTAAAGTCTGTAGTTTTAATGAATTGTCATGAAAAGGAAATGTTCATACAACAGATTAAATGATCTGACATAAAATATTAAAAAATGTTTAAGCCAAAGGTAAGAGAGTTCAATCTTTGTAAAGTCAAGTTTTTCATTGGTCCAAAGAAAATTTCACATAGGCTTGCAAATTTCTTTCCATCTTTTTCCTCAGTTTGCCCAAATTTGAAGGGAGTGGGTAAAGGGAGTTGTTATTATTTTGTACTCTTTCTTTAATTAGTTATGTATATAGATGAATGAGAAATCAAAGAGCTGAGTTTGAATTCCAGACAGGTTCATTACATTCACTTACGTACGAATATCCTTGGGAAAGGTATGAATCCAATGCTTCTACCCTCCTTCCAGCTATGGGTTGAATAGCAGAATAGATTGGGTCCTAAAGCCTGTTTGACAACCAGTATACTGCAGAAAGTAATGGCACCTTGTTATGGGAAAATTTTCTGTCTGTTCAATCATGAATTGATAGAGATATGATCACCCAAGCATGTATCACATACTGCACTTAACTGACTGATATAAAAAAAAATCCGATACTTTTAAGGTATGCTATATTTATGGGTAAAAGGGGACAATGTCAAGGTCCATAAATATAAGAGGGGACACTGAGGGGTAACAGCCTGTTTCATGCTTGAACACAATGGCCTGAAGATTGTGTTAAAGCATGAAACAAATTGTCACCACTCAGTGTTGACCCAAGTGTTCACTCTTTCATATATAAAGGCTTGACAAAATCAACCTCATCCTCCACCAACATTACCATGCAGTCAATGCCCTCGCTTCTTCCATGCAAGAATTGGTTTACTTAGTCATCAATGCCATCATCATAAAGGAAGTGATCAGAAAAGAAGAAATTAAATTCTTGGATATGAGATTTTATATATATATATATATATATTAATAATAAATTTATTGGTAATCCATATGGAATTTCCAAGAGAATATAGATCCGTTGAGAACTCTATGTCAAAAGACAGAGCAAAGTTGAATACATATGTGTCAAAATCTTAACCAAGGAAGGATCCAGACAGTTTTTCGAATTTACACTTAAAATCTTTTTTCAAATGTATTCTCAATTGCCAATTTCATGTAATGATTTTTGTCTACAATCCAGATGTCAATTTGGGTCATCATGGGTGTTAATATAACTGAGAAGACACACCATTTTCTCACCCCCGCTTCCAACATGACAACTTAACACTTTTCTTTCCCCTACTCTCTCTATATGAAATCACTATTCTTAATTTTTAAACTTAGAGTAAATTTTTCCATTTTCAGTTGCTTTACAGGTCTGAAGATTTGAAGCCATGTTTTATTGGCTCCAATGAAATAAAATATTACCTATGGTTTTTTAAATATTTGCTTACACATTACACATGCTGCTAAGCTCTTTGCAATGAATAGAGCACTCTCTCTCTCTCATATATATATATATATATATATATATATATATATATATATATATATATATAGTTTAGTTTATGCAAAACTAGGTAATCTGTATGGGTAGACCCAAAGAGGATGATAATCAGAGAGCTAAATGTAAGTTCAGAGCAAATATGTTTTGAATAAAAACAGATCACTTTAAGGTTCCAACTTTTTGGAAGTAAAGTCTGATGATCCAGAGCCCTGTAAAAGGGTTGTGGTGAAATAACTTATTACATGGAACCTTAAAATCTGTTTTTTATTCAAACAAATATATATATATATATATATATATATATATATATATATATATATATATATATATATATATATATATATATATATATATATATATATATATATATATATATATATATATATATGGCCACATCACATTGAAACACCTGTTCTTGTATGATCACTGAAGTTAAGTAATGTAAAGCCTGATCAGTACATTGATGGGTGACTGCTTGGGAATGCCATGTGTTATAAGCTTGGACAGGAGAGTCAAGTTCCAATTCCAGTCAGGCTCATTATATTTACTTATGTTTTGGGAAAGGCATGAATCCACAACTACAATGCTATCATTTAATTTTCATAACAAATAAATAAAATGTACAAAAATATATATATATGGAAGAAAGGGTACAATTAAAATTTGTGTTGGAAAAAATGTGTATTTCTTAGTAATTACAGTCGACATATACTGCACATATTAATGGCAGTAGATACGAAATGTAAAGACAGAATGTCATCATTGAATTTTTCATTTATTTTTTAATTTTAAGTAATTGGTTGATATGTTTAAACAGTTAATTCAAAAGCATAATAAAGCATTGCATGCAGTCTATTATATTAAGGGCAATCATTTGTGTTCACTAGATGATTGTACGAATCTGCTAATAATTGCTTCTGCATCTGATTCATCTGACAGAGTTCCTTTTCAGTGTATATTTCCAAATTCTCCTCAGATTGCAAATTTCTTATCCTTGTCTGAGTTCCTTAATACAGTCTGCAGCAGAAATACCTCCCACATAATGGTAAAACATTATCTAGAGTTAAAACATCATTGGCACTAATGTCTTACCATAATGTGACAAGTATTTCTGCCACACCCTGTATAATTTACGCTACCAGTTTGATTCTTCCATTTCCCTTTCCTGTTATCTCTTCAGCTGACTGTTGTCAATGCACACTCACAAAGTGCATTTCAGGTTCACTTAGATAATCAAACATGATAGAGGCAAGTAGAAGGTTAAAAGAAAGCATTTTTTCCCTATATGATAACAGATGCACAAATGATTCCATCTCCCAAATGACACAAAAGTACAACCAGAAAGAAGATAAAGTAAATTACAATATTTATTTAAAGTTTAATTAAAGTTTCCCGTCATAATTTATTATTAATTTTGTCTCTTTATTGCATGTTATAAAAAAGACCATAAAGAATATATGGCTGTTAGAAAGAGAGGCATCCCAAGATGCAACTTACAAAATGGAGATAGATAAATTTCTGTACTTGCTTTATTCTGCTATCTGGGAATTGTTCTAATAGACAACAAAAAATATGACACTGAAATCTCAAGATGAATTGGGATGGTGAAAGATGACTTCTAAAAGCTAAGCAAAATATTAAGAAAGAGGTGAATTTCATTAGAAAGAAAGAAGAGTGGTGAGCTGTTATGTAATATCAAACTTTCTATATGGTAGTGAATGTTGAACAATTTAATTTTAATCTGACAAAGCTATTTAAGAACACAAGGCAAGTTCTTAGGATAATGTTTTAGGTTTTGTAGTATATTGCGGATCTGGACAAAACTAACCCTAGAACAGCCTATTCTATGTTCAATTTCCTTATCACCTACACTAAATTTATTACAAACCACTGCTTTGTGGAACCGACTCCCAAGAGGATGCTTTCCCGAAGGTCAACTGTGCCTTTTACTCTGTAACCCACTACCTGCTTTGTGGAACTGACTACCAAGGGGGTACTTCCCGACAATTACAATCTTAACCTGTTCAAGTCTAGGGTGAACTGTTATCTTCCCCACATATCTGCATAAACTGTGCATCTTACTCTGTAACCCTCTACCTGCTTTGTGGAACTGACTCCCAAGAGGATGCTTCTCCAATCTCTATAATCATAACCTGTTCATTCTAGGGTTAACTGTTATATTTCCCATATATTTGTATAAACTGTGCCTCTTACTCTGTAAGCCTCTACCTTGAGTGGCTCTTGGGATTTCTACAGAATGAACATCACTGTAAAAAACAAAATATATACACAATGGTAATGGAAGTGTTTAGTATTTATCAATATGAGATCTTGAATTTTCAAGATGGATTCAAATTTTGTGCCTTCACTGCTTTCATAGGGACATGGCATAGAAAAGAAAATGAAGGAAATTATTTGAATAATTTATTTTCGAAAAGAAATTTGATAAATTAAATAAAAAATAAAATTCAAACATAATAAAGTTAAATCAATAAATTAATTGACCTTCTTGACAAAATTAGACTGAAAATGTTGTTTTTGTGTAAGTCTGCAGTATACAACCACGATATCTGTGGTCTCCATTGGTCTTGAGAAATCTTGGATCTGCATCCAAAGAGTTATGCCTCATCTGCTGATGGCAGTGCAGCATTCTATTATGGCTGTACAGGCCCACATGGGAATGACAGTCTTGATTAAAATGAATGTATGTGAAAATGCTTTCCCCCTGATGTGACCTTGCTTTTTTTCTTTCTGTCAAGCATGCTTCTCCCTGGTGGCAAGCCTTTGTTTTTTCTCTCTAGTGTAAATCATGTTTCCATGGTATAGGCTGGATAACTGAGTATAGATGGGAACTAAAACACTGGTGAGCTGGTCGGACCAACTGATGCTCAGAATGCATCTCAAACAGCAAAGATGAAAGGTGCTGAGGCATTACTCCTGTTTGGAATAGATCTCTAAGACTCACTGCCATAAAGTAGCACACTGATGATGTATGCCCTACAGACTGTAATTTTGGTGTTCAGAGTAAGCTTTCTGTTCTCTCAGACTCTTGAGGTCAGCCTGACAAACATGGTAGCAGCTCATCCGATACAGCTGATGATCTCAGTGTTTGAAATGGTGGAGCCAAGATATATGAATTCATGAACCACCTCCAGGTTGATTTTGATGGCAGGAGGCTATTCAACATCTTGGTCCACCACATTTGTTTTCTTCAGCCTGAACTCTGTTGGTAGGCTTCAACTCCAATATATGGTTAAAGAAAAACACCTTCAAAGTAACCACCTCCAAAAATGATGTTTTTATTTTTTTTTTTAAATAACAACACTGAAAAGAGAGAGAATGATAGTAAAAAAGAAAAGAAAACCTTTATAAGACTTATCAAAATAAGATTCAGAAATTGTTTTCACAATTAAAGTGTATTTGTAGCATAGAAGTTTCCTTTCAAAGAACTAAAACTCAAAGGGAAGAATAAGGAAAAGGAGAATGATGATGATGATGATGATGATGTGGTAAATAAAAGATTCTATTGAAAAATCTATGAAACTGGATCAAAATAACATTTGATTGAAAAATGAGATTTTTCTTTTATTTCTTGAACTTTGAACGGAAAAAAAAGATAGCTCAAAACAATATTATTGGAGAATTATAATGGTGATGTATATGATGATGGTCATGATAATGATGATGACAATGAGACTGATGATAGCAATGATGATTGTGATGTTGCTAATGATATTGATTATGATGACTATGATAATTTTGATAATTATGTTAGTGATAATGATGGTAACAATGATGATTGTGATGATAATTATTATGCTGGTGTTGGTGATGATGCTGGCAATGATGACTGTGATGTTGGTAATGATATTGATTAGAATGGCAATGATAATTTTGATAATTATGATGCGGGTGATAGTGATGGTAATGATGGCATTGGTGATGGTGATAATGAGATTAGTGTTGGTGATGATAGTGATAATGATGATTGTGATGTGGTTATGATGATGATGATGGTGGTGCTGATATCATAATGGTTATGGTGATACTGATAATGATGTTGATGCTAATAATAAAATAGTGTTGGTGATGATAGTGATAATGATGATGGCAATGATGATTGTGATAATTATGATGCTGGCGATAGTGATGGTAATGATGGCACTAGTGATGGTGATAATGAGAGTAGTGTTGGTGATGATAGTGATAATGATGATAGCAATGATAATTATCATGCTGGTGATAGTGATGATGATGGTGGTCATAATGAGAGTAGTGTTGGTAGTGGTGATGATGATAATGAAGATGCCAATGATGATTGTGATGATAATTATGTTGCTGAGATGTTAGCGCTTATGATAATAGTGATAGCAAGATGTTGGGTCATTAGCAAAGCTTAGTTTGAAGTTTGTCCTAGGTATGAAGATAAACTACATCTGGCAGCAAGGCCTCTGATTTGGGGGGGGTGAGGAGCATGGAACCAATTGTTGTTGTTCTCAGGCCTACTGTAACATCTGTAGCATCTGTTAGGATCTGAGCTATGGGCAAATAGTGAACTTCTAAACTTGGGTCAAAACAATTTTTTTTAATCATTTCACCCCAAGCAAGGCAGGAATGTGCAGGGAGTTACAGAGAGTGAAAGAGAAGACTGAGAATAGAGAGGATTGACAAAAGGACAAAAACTGAATGAGATTCTGTAAGACAGAAGATGGTGATTGATGTTGCATTTAAACTTTTGAAGATTGTAATTATCAGGGAAGCAAATAAATGAAAGGGAGTTCTACAGGTGGGAAGTGTCGAAAAAGAAATTGTTGGCGTAGAAGTGGTGGTTGCATTTAGCTATTTCAACAGTAAACAGGTGGGGCTTAGATGCCAATCTAGTAACACACTTCAGCTTGTCAGTGTAGCTGCCATGAAAACATTTGTAGAAAAGACAGAGTGAAGCCACATCATGTCGGTGTAAAAGTGACTGAAGTCAAGATTCCTGGTAATGATATACAGCAGGAGCACCAGATTAAATATGGCAGCAATATTCAATGCACGGATGAATGGTAGATTTGTAAATGTGCAAGATGGATTTTGACAAGGAAAATTTTCTGGCACAACACAGTGACCCAACATTCCTTGCAAGTGGATGCAGTTATTAATTCGATGTAGTAGCTCTATTTCAAATCAGTGGAAAACTTGAGGTACAGTGTGTTGCTTTCCTGGGGTTTAGCATCAGTTATGCTGATTGCAGGCAGAATTGGTTGTTTATGGTGGTTAAATGAAAGCAATTTTGTTTAGGCGGTATTAAAATTTACAAGCCATTTACTACCCCAGTTAACAACTGATTGGAGATCCTTTTCAAGAGCAGCTGCCAAGTTTAATTTGTAAGATCTGTGGGATTTGCTATTGAGACAGGAGTAAATGGTAGTGTCATCTGCATAAATGCCTATTTGGGAACTGATAACATTGGGGAGATCATTGAAGAAGATCAGATGACTGGAGAATTA